CAGAATCTTTATAACTGATCACTTAGCCATTCTCATGTTTTTCCTAATGGTTATGGATAAGTGATTTGGGATCTACAATTGATCCATAATATAATTTTATTAAGTTGGTTTAGACTGTTTGGGCTTATAACCATAGTACTCAGAAAACCTTTTTAAATATATGGTTCTTTTTTTGGTTCAAACATATTTGAATCAAATGGACTTAGGTAAAGTAAGCAGAGGACTCCCTAGTCAACAATAAACTGCTAAAAAGTAAGCTTAGTTTCTTCACCATTTTTATTGGTCCAGCAGCCCAAGGCATATTCTGTGTTCTGTTATGACAATCAGTTATCCTAAGTTTCAGATTAAATCATCCCTCCTCCTTTTTGTAACTTTCATTTTATAGCCTCCTTTTAAAAGAAATGGTGTGTGTGTGTGTGTGTGTGTAGAGGGCATTGGGTCCTTTGGAGCTAGGTTTATAAGCAATTGTGAACCTCTTGACATGGTTGCTAGAAACCAAACTCTGGTGCTCTTTAGGAGTAGCAAGCTGTCTTATTTAGCCCTCATGACATTTTGTATGTATATGTGTATATATGTGTGTATATAATGTATATGATGTATATGATGCATATGTATAATATATATATATATATTTATATTTATATGTGTGTGTGTGTGTATGCATACACATACACACATACATACGACTCTACTTTGTTATGCATTCTGTAGTTGTTAATGGTTTGAATTAGAAATACACCATCAAAGGTATTTGAATCTTTGATTCCAAGTTTTAGTGGTGCTGTCTTGGGAGATGGAACCTTGATGGAGGGAATATGTCATGATGGTGGGGATTTGATATTTCACATTGTTATCCTACATCCAGTTTGGTCTCTGTTTTGTGTTTGTTGAGTGAGATGTGATCTCTTGACTTCCAGCTCCCACCACCATGGTTACCATTTGCCCCTGGCCATTAAGGACTCTCATTCTGACATGAGAAGCTTAAATAAAGTATTCCCTGTAGAAATTGCTTCTGGTCACTGTGTTTTATCATAGCAACAGACAATAATTCATACACTAATGATGAATTGGAGAGTAATTCACCACATGTTTAGAGTTCAGAATGAGTTTGTGGAGTTGTTCAGCATAGACATGGATTCTATTAGATTTAACACATATATTGTCATGTTATTTTAATTCTAAGTCTAAATGTATGCAAGATTCTGTAACTCTGCACTCAAACTTAATGAGTCTGGTTCAGTCCCAAGTGGAATTCCATTTTAATCAGTAGTATACTTAGAGGAAGCGCAACAACCGGTGAAAACTCATAAGACCAGCCCGTTCTTTAGTGACAGAAAATATTACCAATTGAATTTTGACTTGTCATATAGTATTGGGATAACTACACACTCACAGGTGAATACAACTGGATATATTAGATTTTTTTTGTCTTTCTTCAAGCAGAATTTGTAGATTAAATTTATAGATTTATAGAATTATAAATTTATATAATTTATAGATCAAAAATTAATATTTGTATCTGGGTTACCTCACTTAGAATGATATTTTCAAGATCCATCCATTTCCCTGCAAATTTCATAACATTCTCATCTTTAATTGCTTAGTAGTATTCCATTGTATAAATATGCCACATTTTCTTTAGCTGTTCTTTGGTTAAAGTTGAGGGACATTTAAGTTGTTTCCAATTTCTGGCTATTACAAATAAAGCAGCTATACACATAGTTGAGCAAGCATCCTTGTGGTATTGTGGAGTATCTTTTGTGTATCTTTTGAGTGATATAGCAGAGTCTTGAGGTATCATCCTGAGTGAGGTAACCCAAGCCCAGTATCATGCATGCATGGTATGTACTCATTTCTAAATGGATATTAGCCACAAAGCACAGGATATCTATGCTACAATCCACAGATCCAAAGAAGCTAAGTAACAAGGAGGGCCCAAGGGATGATGCTTTAATCTCACTCAGAAGCAGAAATAATAGACATTGGAAGTGGATGGAGAGAGGGTACTGAGCAGAAGAGGTGGTGAGGGAAATAGGAGTGTGGAAGAGGATGAGAGAGGGCTGGAAGAGAGAAGGGGCATTAGTTGGGGGCCATCTCTGGGATGGTCTGCAGATCTGGGATGGGGAGGCTCCTGAGAGTCTATTGAGGTGATCCTAGCCTTAACTCCTAATAATGAGGGATATGGATCCTGAAGTGGCCACCTCCTGTAGCCAGACAGGACTTTCAGTGGAGGGAGGGGGACACCTAACTTACCTACAAAGCCTTTGGCCCAAAATTTGTCCTGCCCACCATGGCTAACCAATGAGCAGCTTGAGACCCAACCCAGAGCCAACCCATGATACTATTGATACTTTGCTATGCTTGCTTATAAAAGCCAAGGGTAATTGTCTTCTGACAGGCTTCATACAGAAGCTGATGGAAACAGATGCAGAGACCTATAGCCAAACAATAGGCAGAGCTCAGGGAGTCTTGTGGAAAAGTTGGAGGAAAATTAAAGGGAGCCAGTGGGGTCAAGGACACTACAAGAAGACCTACAGAGTAAACTAATCTGGGCCCATGGGGCTCACAGAGATGAAACCATCAATCAAAGAGCACACATGGGCTGGATTCCACACATATGTAGCACAAGTGCAGCTTGGTCTTCATGTGAGTCCACCTAACAATTGGAGTGTGAGCTGTCTCTCACTTTATTGACTGCCTATGGATCCCTTTCTCCTAACTAGACTGCCTTGTTTGGCCTCAGTGAGAGAGGATGCTGCTTAGTCTTGCTGTGACTTTATGGGGGTAGTTGGTACCCATGGTGGGCCTCTCCTTCTTTGAGGACTTGGGACTCTGGGAAAGGGGGTGGGAAGATGGGACTGAGAGGAGAGGAGGGAGGGGGACTGCAATCATGATGTAAAGTGAATAAATTAATGAAAAAGAAATTCCTATTTGGCATGCATTAAGCCTATCCTTCTTTTGGCTGTCCCTAATCACATAATGACAGCCAAGTTAAATTGAAGAATGCGGGCTTATTTTTATACATGCAGATCTCAGTGGAGGAGGGTGCTCCATATTTTTGTTAACAGGGCTTATAATGTGCACTTTCTTGGATTGTACTGTGTGAGGAGGCAAGCTTGACATACTCCAACACACTCTTAAGACATCTCCATCTCAAAAAAGAAGGAAATGTTGGCATCTAATTGAAAGATAAAGAACCAGGAATGAGGTCCCTTCTGAAACATGACTTGGCCTCAGACAAGCCTTCAGCCTCCGTGCTCCACGTTTCACTTCTGTAGAACACCGAAGAAGGGTGTGTGCAAAGACTGTAAGAATCAGAGTTTGGGGCAGACTGGAGGGAAACTGTCTTCTGGACTGTGCAGGACCCTTGCACACGTATCACATCAGCTATGGTTGCCTGTATAAGACTTGCACAAGATTAAGCCAGTCAATATCCCAGCAAAAGGAGGGACAGGATCACGATCACCACCCACAGCTGAGGAGCTGTCTGCCGATGGGTTCTGAGGACAGTCGATGGGTTCTGGGTGAGGGGAACTCATTTTCTTAAAGTTGTGGTCCCTAGAAGGCTGGCCATGTTCCACTGGCTTTCCCCAAACTCATGAAGACATGGGCAGCACAAGTTGGCTTTTGTGGGGGCGATTATAATAAAAATATATTCATATATATATGCATGAAATTCTAAAAGAATAAATGTATGATACTTTAGAAAGTGAAGATTCTAAATCCATTGAAAACTATCAAAAAAACTGCCAAAAGCAAGTATAAAAGGTTAATGTTTGAAGGAAAATTTATTGCACAGGATAATAAGACCTAATGAATAATATTTCTTAGGTAGTTAGTAGAGGCAAACTGAAGTAGTTACTTACTGTGTCAGCACTTAAGGTTTACTGGATGATAAACCTCTGTAACCTGAAAACCCAAGTGTTCCAAACATTTAAAACTTTTTGTGTTCCAAGATGAAGCCAAAACCAGAAAATTCCACGATAAAAGGCGTTGTTTCAAGGGAAAAAAGTTTAGCATGTCGTATGAAATCATATTTATGCTGTATGTACAAGGCATGTTATGTGTACAAGGCATGTATGAGAACCCTATTGACTGAGTCTTTTACTCACCTTTTTAACTACTTGAAATAAGCTGTTATTGTATCCATTGTACAGATGGAATTGAGGCTTATGGGACTCAGTAACAACCAGTTTTAGTTTAGCTAATAAACAGAAGCATCTAAGATTTAAATCTAAATTATGCATTTCTGCTATATTTATGTCTCATTTGTTTTCAAAATATTGATGGAGACCATGGAGTCCATTTTATCTCATTCATTCTCTTCTCTTCTGTCTTCTCTCCCCTCTTGCCATTTCAGTTCATCTCCCATCTCTGTCTTCCTCCTAGTCTTCAAAAGCATCCTGGGAAGGTTACCTGTTGTTTCAAGGCAGCAAATAATTCCCTTTATTAGAGTAGATAATTACAGGATCTTCTGTTTTCTGAATGTTTTTAATGAATAGCTCCACTCATTCCTCTGGAAAGTGTAAAATTGAGATGCAAAAAGATTGTTGAAGTCAGTTAACAGAAAGTTTATCTTCCATACGTTACCCTCTGCTGCCGTCTATTACAGATATTCATCACTATTATCTGGAAGACTTCAAGAGCGACAGAACAAAGATGACTGCAATCACAGTAATTACAATATTAACCCATGCTCCTCAGGAACAAGTTGAGATTTATATGTACTGTAGCTTAAATATATAAGAAAACACAGTGAGTTATGATCTTATCTTTATCAGAGAACAGAATAACACTGCATAAAACCCCTCCTCTTCCTGTGAAGGCCATATTCTCCATTGGCTGTCAGTGGGGAGTTCAACCTTGCTTTCTATTTTTGCTTGATAGAAGCCCTATTTTGTCTGTTTCCTTCACATCCTGGCTTAGGTCCAGGCATTTCCGCTAGCCATGAAAGCTCTCGATGCAGTGTCCTCTGGAGATGGGCTAAAAGGCAGGGGCAGCTGAGCCACTAGGACAGACATCTGTGGTCATTAAGGATGCTCATGAAGAAAGGAAGGTCCACAGCCACAATCTTGCCTGTGATGCTAGATTACCAGCTCTGCAGACGGTCTTGTAGTACTGATTATGCCATGTACTGCGCACCATGGTTTTTTTTCTGGGATATTGCAGGTATTCACCAAGCTGAGGGAAAATAAATTCCCTGTTCCATCATCTCCTGCTTCATTCATATTTCACTACTAACCCCTTAACTTGACTAACAGAGCTATTACTTTGATTTATAAACTTTATCCTAGAGGTTTAGGAGGTTTGGGAGTTCAGTCTTAATCACTGAAAAATCCACCACCATTGCATTGGTTATTGAGCCTGGAGTTTTCTTCTACCTAAAAAAGAAACTTATTTCATTAGCTGTTCGACCTTTTCTTGTTTCAGTGACATGGTTGAAGTCACACAGGTCTGCGATAGCCTAGTTCAGTAATTTAGAATCTAAAGGAAGGGAACTGAGTACTGAACATGTCCTTCCAGAGTTTCTCCTTTCACACTCCGTCGCTCTGTGGCCCTCTTCGCTGCCTGCTGCCTGCCTTCTTTCACAGGTAAGCTCAAGAAGCTTGTGCATTCCAGAGCATGTGCAGGCAGGAGGAGCACTCACCTCTCGCGCAAACTCTCACTGTCCTTCACCATATTCACAGTCTAGGCTAGAGGCGGCTCTATTCCAACCTGGGGCTTCTTTTCAAACAGGTAGCCCTTTCCAGACTCAGACTACATCCAGGTAAGCAATCTCCTTACTGCACTATTCTCATGCATTCCATTTGTGTCTAGGTATGTTATAGTGAGCTCCTTGGATAAAGTCATGACATGTTGCATGGATTAGCTCACCCGGTCTCTAATTTCAAGTTCCTCCTGTGCTTTCTGCTCCGTACTCATGGATATTGAAATACCACATCTTAAATTCTCCCCAGTCATGTGATTGTGAGAATCAATCCTTGCCAAAATTGTGCGGCAGAAACCAGAAAGGATTTCTTCTCTTTTAAAATTATTTATGTCTATTTCATTTTTGATTGTGTGTGTGTGTGTGTGTGTGTGTAGGCTCGAAACTGATGTCAGGAGTCTTTCTTAATTCCTCTCCACTCTATATGATGGAACAGGGTAGACCAACTAAACCACAATTTGTGTAAAGCCTCCCAAGAATGAGGAAATTCTCAGTGCTGTAGGCTACTGGGATCTCAAGTCATTTGTTAGTCAGCATTAATGTGGCAATAATGGGCTAATATACCAGCTAGCAAGGACTTCCTAAAAAGCTAGTTCACACACTGTCTTCCTGTGACTGAGTGAAAACTGAGCGACTCGTCAGTGAAGCTGGGTTTTTGACACGTAAATGGATCTTGAGCAACTTTAGAAAGACTTAACTTCCTTAGTCATCTTTGACTTCAGTTTGTTCATCATACTAGCAAATAATTTGGCACTCAATTACTAAGCATATATTATTTTCCCGCCTTTTAAATTTTTATTAAATAACTCCAGTTCATTTTCAAGGTAAACAGGTGTCTCTGGTCAACTGAACTCATAGGTAAAGTAGGCAGAAATGTGAAATATAGAAATACATAGATATACTTAAGAAAAACTGTAAATTACAATATCTGTTGTTGCCTCCTTCTACCTTTTCTGTGGCATTAGTAAAACATTTCTCAGTCAAACTTTGATCTTCAGGTGAAATATGGTCATCAAGTTGTGTATGGTCCTTGAACTAACAATGCTTTTCTGTAGATGAATATTCATAATTAACTTAATTATAGAGAATTCAAACTTTGAACCCCCCAGTTCAAATAATTGTTACTTCTCTGAAAATAATTTCACCATTGTTATTAGTACATCTAAGATTTAAAATGTACTTAATTATCACTCTGACTATATTTATCTGACCAATAAAATTCCAGAAATCTATTTTCACTATACCTAGTTTTTGTTTTTACAAAATTTGTACAAATAATTAGCTTTAGTTTTGTGTCTTGGTTCACAAAGTTGCAAATAGGCCTTTAAGCAGAAGATGGCTTCCTGCCCTAAGAAATGCCCTACTATTGGTCTATGGGCAATAATACTATGATGCACAGTTGGCACACTGCCCAGGGAGCAGAGGGCATCTGTGCTGCCTTTTGTTGTTGACAAGGTACAGTCTTTGTTACTGAGAAATTTCCAAAAAGTATAATGCCAAACAATTTTTGTAAACTTCTGTGTCCCTTTTCTCACCTTACACAACAGTCCTTAAAAAAAAAAAAAAGAAAAAGAAAAAAAACACAATCAGGATCATAAGACACTCACTGGACTGGCACTGACACCATGAACTAAGGAAGTTCATGGGTGCTCAGGTTAACACAGGGAAATCACTGCAGACTGCCTAATCACCCATGATTCATCCTGCAGCAGTATAAATAGCTACAGGATCATTGGAGCTAATTTGCAAGTGATTTCACTCTTATTTGTCCCGCTCACCGGTTTAACGTATAACTCCAGGCAAGATCTTTTAAGGACACTTATTTTTTCTTTCTGATTACTACTAACTTTTTTTCTTTTTAGTTTCAGTTACTAGTGATAATTGTGTTCTACTGTAATTTTTAAAATAGCTTATTTTTTTGTCTTCATATTTTGAGCAGTGACACGTGTTTTGTTTCTGCCTTTCACCTCCTACACAAAATAATTTTGCATATGAATTAGTCTCTAACAGTAGTAATAATTGGTCATTACTGAAATGACAATTACTAAACTTTTGCTTTTTTCGAAAAAAAAAATTAGTACATTGTTAAGGCCAGTGGGCTGTACAGTTGGAAGTACACTTCATTATATATATATATATATATATATATATATATATATATATATATATAT